AAACCCCTGACCCCACCCTGACCCTCACCCTGACCCTAACCGAGCTGGTCTGACCTGCTGCCCTAACCCTGACCCCAACCCCCACCCCGACCCTAAGGTTCATAGCTTCTCCGGCTGCCCTGCCCCTCACCCTAAACCCCTGACCCTAAACCCCTGACCCCACCCTGACCCTCACCCTGACCCTAACCGAGCTGGTCTGACCTGCTGCCCTAACCCTGACCCCAACCCCCACCCCGACCCTAAGGTTCATAGCTTCCCCGGCTGCCCTGACCCTCACCCTAAACCCCTGACCCTAAACCCCTGACCCCACCCTGACCCTCACCCTGACCCTAAACCCCTGATCCCACCCTGACCCTAACCGAGCTGGTCTGACCTGCTGCCCTAACCCTGACCCCAACCCCCACCCCGACCCTAAGGTTCATAGCTTCCCCGGCTGCCCTGACCCTCACCCTAAACCCCTGACCCTAAACCCCTGACCCCACCCTGACCCTCACCCTGACCCTAACCGAGCTGGTCTGACCTGCTGCCCTAACCCTGACCCCAACCCCCACCCCGACCCTGACCCTAAGGTTCATAGCTTCCTGGGCTGGTCTGACCTGCTGCCCTGACCCTCACCCTGACCCTAAACCCCTGACTCCTGACCCCACCCTGACCCTAAACCCCTGACCCCACCCTGACCCTAACCGAGCTGATCTGACCTGCTGCCCTAACCCTGATCCTGACCCTAAGGTTCATAGCTTCCCGGGCTGGTCTGACCTGCTGCCCAGTGCAGCCTATGGGACCCCCGCCCCTTAGCTCCCAGAGCAGAGTGTTAAGGCTTGGATTGGAAATGGCCAGTGCTAGAGACCTCGTTCCAATGGTTAATTACTCGCACGTTAACACACCTTTGAGTTTGTCTAGCCTCCGCTTCCAGCCATGGCCCTATGTCGGACCATCCTCTGCTAGACCGGAAAGCCTGTTCCCAGATAGTTCCCCATCTCGGCACTTACAGGCTGGGATCCCGACCCCCCTTCCCCTTCACTTTGTTACGTGACCAAAGAGGGGGCTAGGGGAGGAGGGGCTGGGGGGATGGCAGCCCCATGGCCACCTGCTGGGGGTCTCAGGCCCCAGCATTGAATTGTCCCGCCAAGGGGGTGCAGGAGGTGATGGGAACCAGCCGCCTGTGGGCCCACTTGCCCCCCCTCTGCCCCCATCCAGGGTACCGGCTGAACGACGGCTTCTGGCACATGGTGGAGCTGGTGGCGCGGGACGGTTCGGCCGTGATCACCATCGACGACAACGACGGGGCCGAGTTCCGGGTGGCCCACCCCTTCCAGCTGCGCACCGGGACCCAGTACTTCTTTGGAGGTGGGCGGCCCGGGCCGGGGTGGGGTGGGGGCAGGCTGGGGGGGCAGGCGGCAGGCAGCACTCACCCCACCCCACCCCCGTGTGTGTTCCAGGCTGCCCCAAACCTGCCGCCATCACCGGCTGCCTCTCGAACCAAACCACCTTCCACGGCTGCCTGCAGAGCATCAGCGTTGACGCCCAGCCCGTGGAGCTGGACCTGCTGAGGCAGGAGCGGCTGGGGCAATACTCCAACGTGTTCTTCAACATGTGCAGCATCGCTGACAGGTATGTGCCTGCCGGCCGGCCGGCCACTGCCTGACCCACGCCAGGAGCTGGGCTGTCTGCGCCGGGGGGCTGCCCCAGAACAAACCATGGGGGAGAGGCATGGGCTTGTCCTCGGTGCCTAGGGCTGGGCCTGCAGGGACCTGAGATCGAGGCTTTGCCCTGCCGCCAGCTGTCAGCCCCCCCATTTCTGCTTTGTTCAGAGTGAGCTGGTCGGGGCAGGGACTGTGTCCGCGCAGTGCCCGGCCTGTCGGGGGCCTCGATCTCCACCGGCATCCGTGCAGCGCCGCCGTCATTAATAACAGCTCGACGCACAGTTTGCCCTGGGGTGGAGTGATCAGGTTTGAGGCAGGGTCTGGCTGCGCTGGGACAGAGGGCAGGTTTGCCTGGGCAGCTCTGCCAATGGCTGGAGTCACGGCCGGATAGCTGCACACCCTGCTCATCCCGGTGTCCATGCGCCCGGCCGTCCTCAGCTGCATCTGTCCCCGCCAGGTGCACCCCCAATCTGTGCGAGCACGGCGGCCACTGCCTGCAGTCCTGGGATGACTTCATCTGCGTCTGCAACCTGACGGGATACAAGGGAGAGACCTGCCACAAATGTGAGCTCCGGCCCAGCCAGGGGGACGGGGGGCTGAGGGCGGGTTCCCAGCCCCAGCTGCCACACCCAGCCCAGCTCGCTAGTCTCATCCCAGCCTCCTGCTTTGCCTGTTCCAGCCCTTTACAAAGAGTCGTGTGACGCGTATCGGCTCAGTGGGAAAACATCTGGGAACTTCACCATCGACCCTGATGGCAGCGGGCCCCTCAAACCCTTCACCGTCTACTGCGACATCCGAGGTAGCCGGCTGGGGAAGGAGAGATGCTAAAGGGTCTGGCAGGGCTTGGGAATTGGGGCCTTTCCCCTCTAGTGGGCGCCGGCTCTGATCCAGTCCCGGGGCAGGGACTGGCTGGCTCAGGGGGGCAGGGAATGGGGCACAGGGCTTTTCCCCTCTAGGGGGCACCGGCTCTGACCCAGCCCCAGACAGTGGTGACCGGAAGCCGTCCCCACATGCAGCACCTGTGTGGTGGGGTTCCTGGAGGGCCGGTGACGGTGTCCATTCCAGGCCCAGGCCCGAAAGCGACTGCCCCCGGCCCTGCCTGCAGAGGGGCCCTCAGGGCGGCCAGGGCTGAGGCCCATTGGTAGGGAAGGGGATTGGACCTTGTCATGGTGCCCGGGCTGCCCCCATTTCCCCCCGCCCCCGAGTGATGCAGGAGAGAGCTGGAGGGAAGGGCTGGGTGAAGGGACTCCCAGGCTGTTCCCGCGCTGACTCCATCCTTTCTCCTTGCGCGTCATCCTCAGAGGATCGGGCCTGGACCATCGTCAGGCACAACCGGTACTACGCCACGCGGGTGAGGGGCTCCAGTCTGGACCGGCCCTTCCTGGGCGCGGTGGAGTACTGGAACGCCTCGTGGGCGGAGGTGGAGGCCCTGGCCAACGGCTCCGAGTACTGCGAGCAGCACCTGGAGTTCTCCTGCTACAACTCCCGCCTGCTCAACACACCCTGTGAGTGCCTCGGGGCACTGCCCTGCCCCTGGCGGGGAGGGAAATGGGGGGCTCTGCCCCGCCCCAGCAATGGGATTAATGGGGGGGTGTGCTGGGGGGTCACTGCCCTGCCCCAGCAGTGGGGGAGGGGAGGGTCATGGGGTGAGTCTCATGGTCCCTGCCCACCCCCTCTGCGCCTCCTGTCTGGGCAGGTGCAGTCTGGCCCCCTGGGTTGCTCTCCATCTGGTTGTACAGGTTGATGCTCCCTCAGGACGGGGCTCGCTCCCCCAGCCGCTTAGCCCAGCTCAGCCCCCCCGCCCCCACCCACGGCTCTGTCCCCTCCCCCAGACGGGCCGCCCTTCAGCTTCTGGATGGGCCGCCACAACCAGCGCCATTACTACTGGGGGGGGCTCCCCGCCGGGCGTCCAGCGCTGCGCCTGCGGCCTGGGCAAGAACTGCGCTGACCCCAAGCACTTCTGCAACTGCGACGCCGACCACGCCCAGTGGTGAGCCCCTGGGGGGCTGGAGCATGGGCTGGCTCTGAGGCACACGTGGGGAGCAGTGCAGGGCGGTGGTGAGGTGCCTGGAGATGGGGTGGCTGAGGTGATGGGGTGGAGTGGGGCAGCGCAGAGTCGGGGTGGGGTTGGTTGGAATGGGGCAGCGCAGGGTGCCAGAGGGACGGGGGTGAGTAGGCAGCGGTAGTGGGGGGCAGCTGAGTGGGGGCAGGGTAGGGTGGGGCAGTGGGGGGTGGAGCAGGGTGGGGCAGTGGGGAGTGAGGCAGTGGGGGGCATCCAGCTGGGGGTGGGGAAGGAGGGCAGGGGGCTCCTGTCCCTCTCTGATCCCGGCTCTTTCACCCCCGGCTCCGGTTCTAGGAGAACGGACAAGGGGATGCTGAACTTCGTGGACCACCTGCCCGTCACCCAGGTCGTGGTGGGAGACACCAACCGCTCCCAGTCCGAGGCCCAGTTCCTGCTGGGGCCGCTGCGTTGCTATGGAGACCGTGAGTGCCTTGCTGGGCGGGGGGCACGGCCGGGGCCCTTGCAGGGTCCCTCTGTCCTGCGGAGGAGGGGCTGGGTCTCACCCTGCCCTGGTCTCTTTCAGGGAACACCTGGAACACCGTCTCCTTCAACAAAGGCGCCTCCCTCGTGTTCCCCACCTTCCTGGCCAACCACAGCCTGGACATTTCCTTCTACTTCCGAACCACCGCCCTCTCCGGGGTCTTCCTGGAGAACGGGGGCTGCAGGAACTACATCCGCATCGAGCTCAACAGTAGGGGCTGGGCGCGGGGCCGGGGAGTTGCAGACGGGATCTTCCAGAACTTGGCTGGAGTGGGGGGGGCTGCGGGTCGGGAGTGAGGGGCACCGGCAGAGCCGTCACAGGGTGATGGGGGGGGGGCTGCGGGGCAGGATTGAGGGGCACCGGCAGAGCCGTCGGAGGGTGACCGGCAGGGGCAAGGGCTGGGACTGCAGGGGTTGTGGGCGGGACTCCGGGGGGCCCAGGGAGTGGGTGCTGCTGGCAGGGAGCCCCCGAGAGTTGACCTCCCCTGCTTCCCCAGCCACCAGAGACGTGGTGTTTGCGTACGACATTGGGAACGGGGACGAGAACCTGACGGTGAGATCCCCCGTCCCCTTCAGCGATGACGAGTGGCACCAGGTGAAGGCCGAGATCAACGTGAAGCTGGCGCGCCTGCGGGTGGACAAGCTGCCCTGGGTGGTGCGGCTGGCCCCACCCCAGAGCTACGTCCGGCTGGAGTTCGACAGGCCCCTCTACGTGGGTGAGTGAAGGGCAGAGCCCGTGGCCTCCGGGGCTGCTCCCAGCGCCTGGCTCAGGCCCCTCCCCAGCCCAACAGGAAATACGGGGTGCTCCAGCTCCTCCCCTTAGAGAACCCAGGAGTCCTGCAGCTGGCACAGCAGGTTTAGAGCCAGGCTAAGGGCCTCCTTGGGCTGCATTGCTCCTTAGCTAACAGGTGGGGAATCCTGGCTTTAAAGGGTGCTCTGCTCAGACCTGTAACCAGCCCTGGCCCAGGGCCCCCGTAGTGTGCCAGGCCCTTGCCCCCCTTTCTGCAAGGGGGAGCCCTGCAGCTGCAAGAGGGGCCCTCGGGCTCCCCCACCGCCCAGCAGAGCCCCTCACCCCATCCGATCCCTCAGCCTCCTCTCCCTGGGGCTCTGGCACCTTCCCTCAGTCAGTGCCAGGCCTGTCGGAGTGCAGCAGCCCAGCCCCCCCCCCCTCGGCCCCTGGCCCAGGGGAAACAGTGACCCGGGTGCCCGGGGGGAGTGGTGCATCGCCAGAGGGGAACCAGAGTTGCTGGGCTCTTCAGACAAGAATTACTCTTGGGGGCAGGGTGCCATCCACCCAGCTCTGCACACCCCGGACTCCTAGCATGCCCCCATGAACCTCCTTTCATTCCCCCCCAGATTCTGTGCCCCCTTTCCACCCTCCTCTCTTATCATGGGCCCACCCTCCCTTCTCCTCCCATTGTCCCCCCCTGTGCGGGGGCTGTCTGGGTGTCCCCCCCAGCAAGGTTCCCCCTTCTCCCCCTCCTGCCAGGGGCTCTGGGTGTCTCCTTTTTCTCTCCCCAAAGTACCTTGCTCTCCTCTGGTTTGGAAGCAACAGGCACAGGAGCGACGCTCAGTAGGCAGTGAGCAATGGGGCGGGGCCAGGTGGGGCGGGGCTGAGCCTGGCCTCACCTCCTGGCCGAGCACAGGCCTGGGGCAGGGGGTTGCTAGGGGTTAACCGGGTGGCACTCAGCTGTTTGTAGTTTTGTTTGATTTGATCCCCAGAGAGCTGCCAGGTGCCTGACCCTGCGGCTGTGTTCGGCAGCTGGCAGGGGCTCCATGCATCCCCCTGTGGCCCCCTTTTCCCAGAATCCCCCAGGTTCTGCCCGTTCCAATGGAGAACTGCTCAGCTGCGGCGTTCAAACGTTACCACGGTACAGACAGAAACACAAGCCAGCCCCAGGGCCCACGCTCCCCTCAGCACTTCTTCAGTCTCAGTGCAGCACTGGCTAGTGGTGAGAGCCGGGGTTTGGGAGCCAGGACTCCCGGGGTCTCTCCCCAGCTCTGTGACGTTGGGCACATCCCTCCGTTGCTCAGTGCCTCAGTTTCCCCATCAGGTGCGAATCGGGGCCTCTCCTGAGGGCTGGGGTGTTCCCAGGCGCTGAGCCCCGAGCACGGCTAGTGAAGGGTGAAGGTCGATTTTCCCGGGGGAGTCGGTGCTTTGGGGCTCTGCCGATCCTCCCTCGGGGTTGACCGCCCAACCCAGCCTGACAGTGCAGGCCTTGCCGCGGTGGGGGCAGCCAGGCCTGACGCTCTCTGTCCCCCGGGCCAGGCTCGGCCGAGCACCGGCTGCGCCCCTTCCTGGGGTGCCTGCGGGCGCTGCGCATGAACGGGCGGACGCTGAACCTGGAGGGCAAGGCCAACGAGACGGAGGGCGTGCGGGTGAACTGCACCGGCTACTGCCAGTACCCGCGGGTGCCCTGCCAGAACAGCGGGCTCTGCGTGGAGCGCTACAGCCACTACACCTGCAACTGCAGCCTCTCCGCCTTCGACGGGCCCTTCTGCAACCGCGGTGAGTGGCGCTGCGCTGCCCGGGGCACGGCCGCCCGGCCAGAGGCGGGGTGAGGGGCGTGGCACGTGGGGGCACGGCCGCCCGGCCGAGAGGCGGGGTGAGGGGCG